TTTTCATGCGTGCCCAGCTCATATTGAGGCTTTTTGTTTTCTCTCTTCTTTCTCCCCAACCCCATCTGCCTCTATCAAGCTTTTTTTGTTAAGTTGCTTTCAAACGATGCTCTATAAAGCTTTCAGCCTCTCTTAACTCAATTCTTTCCTTTCCCCCAAACTCTTGCCCAATCCCTGTCATCCAAAGAAGAGTGTGTGAAACTCTTTAAATCCTATGTTTCAGTTCCATGATCATTGACCTACAGTTCTCCAGAGGGAGACATCTGCATTTTATTTTATTTATTTTATTTTATTGCTATTAATTTTTTTACTGGTCTAGCGATACAAGTATTTGTGTGCGAGAGATGAGAAAGTCCAGCAGCTGAATCAGCCAACAATAACAGGCCGAGCAAATTGCACGTCATTGCTTAGACGTGGTTGACACAAGCTGTTTCTCTTTTATTAGACTCATCCCTTTATTCCCTGCTGCCGCCATGATGTGTGGGTCCCTACAGGCAATCTGAATAAGTAGAAGGTGTGGGAAACAAAGGTTGCAAGGTTAAGTTTGTACTGCAGACCGAGGACCAGCAACCATAGTGTACCAACCCTGTATTTAGCAGCTTGCATGGTAAGAAGACAAGAAGAGCCTGCTGAATCAGGCCAGTGGCCCATCTAGTCTGGTATCCTGCTCTCATAGTGCTCAAGCCTAGGTGAAGCAGGACCTGAAGGCAAACCCCAGCTTCTGTGGTTTCCAGCAACTGGTATTTAGAAACATACTACCTCTGACAATGGATGCAGAACATAGCAATTAAGGTTACCAGGGTAGCCCATAGGTGACCAGGAATTCCATGCATTAAATCCCATGCAGACAAGTGAATGGGCTGCCAGACAAGGAATAGTTTTTTGCTCCATCCTGCTCTGCCAGCCTGTTTTGTTTTTGTGCTCTCCTTCTCCATAGCCAGCATTGCAACACAGCCTACTAGGTAAAGGTAAAAGGTAAAGGACCCCTGGATAGTTAAGTCCAGTCAAAGGCAACTATGTGGTGTGGCGCTCATCTCACTTTTCAGGCCAAGGGAGCCAGCATTTGTCCACAGACAGCTTTCCGGGTCATACAGAGGATGTGCCAGAGCACACGAAAATGACATTTACCTTCCTGCTGCAGCGGTACCTATTTATCTGCTTGTACTGGTGTGCTTTCAAACAGCTAGGTTGGCAGGAGCTGGGACAGAGCAACAGGAGCTCACCCTATCACATGGATTTGAACTGCCAACCTTCCAATTGGCAAGCCCAAGAGACTCGGTGGTTTAGACCACAGTGCCACCCACATCTCCTACTAGCGCAGCTGACTAGCCTCTTGGAAGGATAGTAACAAACAAAACAAAACTCAGGCTAGTAACTTCTGTGGCTGCAGTATACACTTTTCTACCTTCCTTGTATGCACAAAGGCCCATGCTACAGATATGGTCAGTATCAATTTCTATGGCTGCAGTGTCCACCACAAAAACTGTGACCACCACTCCATGCATTATATTTGGCTTCGTGGCCCAGAAAGATCAGGAGGCCTGCTTAGGTATTTGGAAAAGTGATGGCATTAGCCACCCCCCAATCATCCAGTCTTGCTGGCACAGCTTTCAGGCACAGCGATAATTAAGCATGCTTCCCAGACAGTGGGTGAACAGCCAGATAACAGCTTATTCAGGGACTTAGCAATGACATCTTCTCATTGTCCCTGTGCCTGCATCCTAACGCAGAGTCGCCCACACTCAGCCATTGGAAAAAAATGATAGCAAGGATGAAGTAGATCAGAGATCTCTGTGACGCTGGACAGCAGCAGCACTTAGTCTGAATGCTGAGAACTCCACTTCATGAGAAATTGACTCCAGAACCACTGTGGTAAGAACGCTTAACGATTCATCTTGAGTGGAATGACGTGCATACTTTGAGGAACAGCCTCTTTTTTAGACTAGATTCTAGGACTGTATTTTGCAACTAGTTCAAGAGTGTTTCCTCTGTTGCCACTTGTCTCACTTTCCCAGTGTCCACACGTTGAGCAATATTTTTTTTGTCTAGTAGTAAATGAAAGGACTTTTGCAAGTGTGGCAATAGAAATGCCTATTTTTCTTTGAGAAGTTCTTAGCAGCCTTTTGAACTTGGCCACTTTCCAGAACGTAGGAAGGGATTTTGTCACTCCCTTCTCTTATTTAGTCCTGTCTCCTTCCACACATACCTGTGTGACTCCAATGTTAGAAAAAGAGAGGGATTGTAGCCCATTCAGGTAGGTTTTCATCATCATGCCTCGTCGCCTTTATTTTCACCAGCAGCATCTACTGGACTACGATGCTCCAAGGACCTTTGATGTTTCATCGCAAGCTTGCCAAATGACTCACGAAGGGTGAAACTGGCAGGAATCTGCTGTCCCTCATGCCTTTTGATACCCCGGGCCTTGTGCATGAATGGAAAGTCTAGAAACCGTTTTTTTCCATCTATACCAGTCTTTTGACAGTACTAATTTGGGAGGGGGGCATGCAGTAAGGGGAAATTTGAATTAACAAGGAGGGAGGGAAATGAGATGCATGCAACATTGTGTGGATGCCCCCTCCCCCCCAAAAAAGCTAGTGCCTAGGATAGTGCAAAAGCACAGTGAATCACTGGTGTGGAAGTGCCCTGTGAGAGTGCTAGTGTGTTTATATCCTGCATGTGGATTTCCAATAGGCAGTTGCTGGTCCACCATGAAAACAAAATGCTAACCTAGATAGGTCTTTGGCCAGATCCAGCAGGGCTCTTATTTTGTTTCTTTTTTACCTGCCCATCACCCTAAGGTCCTACGGTTGAGTTACAACAATTAAAACAGAATGTTGAAAAGAGTTTAAAACAACTTACAGCCACAAAAAACAAGGTGGGTCCTGAAAATTTACATATCACATATCAAAAGCCAGGGTAAAGAGGTGTGTCTTCAGCATTCACCGAAAACTGTTATGATGAAGATAGAAGTGCCAGACACATCTCTATGGGGAAGGAGTTCCTTAACCTGACAAGCTAGAATGTGTGTGATAAAGGATCTGGAAACTAAGCCTGATGAGGAAGGGTTGAGGGAGCTGGTTATGTTTAGCCTGGATAAGAGGAGACTGAGAGGGGATATAACAGCCATCTTCAGATATCTAAGGGCTGTCACATGGAAGATGGAGCAAACTTGTTTGCCTCTGTTCTGGAGCGTAGGACCCAAACCAATGGATTCAAGGTACAAGAAATGAGATTCTGACTAAGCATCAGGAAGAATTTTCTGGCAGTAAGAGCTGTTTGACAGTGGAATGGACTCCCTTGGGAGGTGGTGGACTCTCCTTCCTTGGAGATTTTTAAGCAGACGTTGGGTGGCCATCTGTCATGGATGCGTTAGTTGAGATTCCTGCATTGCAGGGAGTTGAATTAGGTGACCCTTGGGGTCCCTTCCAATTCTATAATTCTATGATTCTAATTTAGGGGCTGCCACAGAAAATGGCGTCTCCCGGGCTACTGCCACCCCAGATTTCTGAGGGCAGTGAGGGTCCCCTCTGCCAATCTTAATATCCAAGGGAGTCTGTAGGAAAGGAGGAGGCCTTGAATTGGGCCTGGAAACAAACTGGCAGTGCAGCTTTATTGGAACAGGAGCTATACAAAAGAAGAATATTCCTCTAGTTCCTAAAAAAATTCACTTTTGTCATACCATGTGACAGCTGTCCAGGATCTTCCTCACCTTATTCCGCACTTTATTATTCCGCACTTAATGACTGTGGCAAGGCTTATCAAGCTCTGGAGGACTTTAAATGGAGATTTGTTTTAGGTTTGGTTTCACAACTCTGGGATTTAATATTAATGGATGAACTACCCACATTCATGAAAAAAGAACAAGCAAGAAATCAGACACTTTTTATTCAACCTGATGTAATTTTATCTCTTATGCAACATCAAACAAACATGGCTACAATAGACCATGGTAATCTGTGGAATGACACTTTTGTTCAGTAAGTGAAATGACCTAATTAGTCAGTGTAACTATTTCAAGATTCTGTACTTATGAAGGAGGGAATATTTGTTGTCCTCCCCGCTTTTTGATGCCTGATTTTTTTTTATATAAAAAAGTAACAAACAAACAAACAAACAAACAAACAGGGCTTATGTGAGATCTAAATAGACCCCTGGCCACTGCATTTTGGACCAAGTGAGTAAAGCACACTGCAATACTGTATTGGCCCGAATATAAGCCGCACCCACAAATAAGCCACACCTTTAAAATGGAAGGGGGCAAAAGAAAAAAAGGCAATACTCAGGCTGCTTCCGAGGTGGGGGGAGCCACTCCACTTTGCCGGCGGCCTTCCCCCTTCTTTCCGGCGGCTCGGGGGAGGCTTGGGAGTGGTGTGTGTGCTGTGCGCTGTTGCCCTACGCTCCCAGACTGCTCTCTGGGGAGGGGGAGCTGCTCCACTTTGCTGTTGGCATAAGGTCTAAAATGGAAGCCACACTTTAACTTTCCAGGGTCTGAATTGGCGGGGGGGGGGGGAGTGTGGCTTATATTTGGGCCAATATGGTACTTAAATCTGGAAGTTACCAGAGTGTGGAGTACAGCAGACAAATCATATCTGTCCAAAAAAGGGTCATAGCACAATGCTAGGACTCCTAGATGCCAAGGTCATCTGAGCCTCCAGCAACAGTGTTGGACCCAAGAGCACCCCCAAGCTGTGGACCTCTTTCTTCGAGGTAAGAGCACCCCAGTCCAGTTCAAGACAGACCATGTCTCCCCTTCCCAGATATGATAACATGAGACACATAACACATCTGTCTTTACTTAAGGTGAGTGACCAACCATGGTATTAAGGGAAATGGCTAAAGAGGGAGCCAAACAAAGTTGGATTAATGAGCAAATGCCTTTGAAGGTTTCCAGAGACATTCAGTTATCTCAGAGACAGGCACTTCTTGCACCATAAGATCAAGGTCCATCCTTTGATGATAATGAGTTGTGTGGATTTGTCGCAAGAAAGCCGACACTGGGAATGAAGTCCCACACCACTTGCCACCCTCAATCTAATCCAGCTCTTGGGTCAGAGTTAATCAGCCAGCAATGTGATGAATACCTAACAGCAGCTAAACATTGCAGGAGGAGATTATCTGCCTCAAAAGAGCAATCACAGATATCTACAGCAACACAGAATGTCCTTATTAGGTTGAGCAGCTTCCTTCTAACAAAAAACACTGGAAGAAAGATATATGCCGTTTTGAAAGGTTTATGCATTTTTAGGGTATCAAAAAAAAAAGCAGTCTCTCGCTCAGGTGCTGGTTTGCTCTGCGGGGTTGGGGAGCGTGAGTCTCCATTTGGATTGCGAAATCATTACTACACTCCTCCAACCCAGAGCTCCTATCTTTTGGAATAAACAAGGAGAAAATAACAAACCCAAATCTGTAAAGACTTTGTTTTGAATGCAAGTTTCCTCCTACACTTTCTACGGGACTGTCCACCGCCTCCTCCCCCCAGCCCTTGGCAACTTTCCCATTGATTTCAGGGGAACAATGATTCAGTGAAATCTACAAAAAGAAACTTACCAGAAATTTACCAGCTGCTGAATGAAGGAGAGAGGCAGAGAGAGATATAGAGAGGGAGAGAGGGAGAATACACACACACATAAAGTCACTTTAGTGAAAAACATAAAAGAACGCTTAGCTTTTGGAAAGAAAATCTCTTGCTTATTCTTCCAAAAACCATCAAAGGCTGATTTTAAAGGGAATTTTCTATTTATTGATTTATCATCATCATCATCATCATCATCATCATCTCTCTTGCCTTTTATCCATTTCTCTTTCCTGCCTTGAAGCTGTGCAAGAAGGAACATATAGGCCTGGGAGATGCACTCACCCGTTCCAAAGGATAGATGTCGCACCAGAGCCCCCTGTCCTTCCCCAAATGAGTTATCTGAATTTCAAGTTACAAGACAAACAACTGTGCAAGCTTGAGGAGGAGGCTGCCAGCTCTGTTTTGGAGCAAACTGAGAGCAGTGGGAAGAAAGAGAAAAAGAGAGGGCACACACACAAACATCTCTCCTCAAGAGCCCAGATGAAAACAAGGCATCTGCTGGTTTTTGAAGAACAAACTTTGAGCCATGTGTGTCTTCTGATTCAGCAAGGACTCTCTGTGTGTGGGAACAGCTGCTGAAGCGCTGAAGTTGTCCATCACTCTCTAGAATACAGGAGTGACAGAACGGGAGGTTTGGGCAGAAAGCATCAGCTTCAAGAACTACAAGCAGCAGTTGCTGCTGCTGCTGCTGCTGCTGCTGATTCAGTCCGCTGAGCCAACGCTGCTGACTGCAAGAGGAGCCAGTATTTCCCTTCCAAAGAAAGAGAAAGGTAAATGAAGGAGCTTTGTAGCTAGATGTGTAGAATAATATCTCCAAGCAACAGTGTCTAGATGGGTTTTTTTAAAGGGGAAGGGGTTGAGGGACTTTGTAGCGGAGAGCAGAGCTAGCTATTCTGCATTGTTTCTTATGATCTTTTCTCTTCTTTTTCCCCTGTCTGTTGAGCATGAAAGGACAGTAAATAAAGTGTGAGAGAACTGAAGCTTGCCATTATATACCCTGTGGATGCTGTGCAGCAGTTTTGTCTGCTTTAGATGCTCTGGGGCAAGCATCAAGACAGAAAAGAAAAGAAATAGGTTAGATAGCCCCCCAAAGCAGGTTTCTGATGCAGGTTGTCTGTCCATCCCCATGACATTTCTCTATACCTGGATCATCTTTATGTGTTCTCCCTGGTGCCTACCTTGCATATACAGGATTGGGGGAAAGGGGATGAGTGTGTTTTAAATCACTTTTAAGAACTGAGCCGTATGAGACATGGAATTTCAATCTCAGCTGCTCCACAAGCAAATATAGGGATGGGATGTGACTGGGAAAGATACCAGTTTAGGACCCACTGATGCTTTTACATTAGAAATGCATAGCCGAGAGGCTCTAGAAAAGGGACGGGGAAGTTGGCAAAGACAAGCCACCAGCTGGCTTGTGGAGTGACCTTACTGTCATCATTTGTTCGCTCTGTGTCTTTTATCAAGCAGATGATGATGATATGCTGTTAGAAAACTAGCTGGAGTAGTTCCTTGAGAGAAAGTGCTAACATTCAACATGTGGATGTAAGGATGGGCTAATATGATACCCTTAAATTAGTGATGGACTTAAATAGCATGAACCTGATATTAAAAAGCCTCTATCTATCTATCTATCATCTATCTATCTATATCTCATAACTAGTAAATGGGCAAGACATCCTTGTTCATTTTTTATAATGTACTGTTTGGGTGGGTGTGCACATGCACGCACACACACACACACACACACACACACCCTGAGGGGTGTTCTGTGAGACAATAAAGGTGATTTTGGTGAGTCAGAAAAGCTGCAGCAACACGGAGAAGGGAAGAGAGAGAGTCTGTGTGGTGCATGAAAGACAACAGCTTCACTTTGCTTTGGAATTTCAGAGGCAATTAGAAGAATGGTGGCTGCAGGAATCAAAGTGGACCTCCATGCACTAAGCTACAGAGCTAACAGATGGAATGCTTAGAAGCCCTTTCAGAATCAATACCTGGGCAAATGGAACCAGATTGCAACAAAAGTGTCATAAAGCAATACGAATAAGACTGCAATCTGGGTGCTCTACTGAAAAACTACCAGTTGCATGCCATGCTAGTTTCTACTCAGAGAAAAAAAAAAGTTAATGGCTATGGCTTACTTAGGTTCATTGATTTCCATGAGTCTATTCAGAGTTTAAATTAGCTGGATGCAACCCAATGTCTCAGTTTACTTCTGTAGCTCTGCACCTCCACTTGTTGAGGAGTGCCTATACCAAGAGAACCAATGTGGTTTAGTGGTTGCAGCATCAGACTGGGGCCTGGGAGACTAGGGTTCAAAGCCACATTCAGACATGAAGCTTGCCTTGGGCTAGTCCCCCACCTCACAAGGTTGTTGTGAGTATATTATGGAGAGGAGAGGACTGAATATATTCCCCCTTGAACTGCTTGAAGGAAAGGTGAGATATACAGAGAATCATAGAATTGTAATAATAATAAAAATAAATATAAATTTTATTATTTGTACCCCACCCTTGAGGGTCCAGCCTCCTGCAATGCAGGAATCTTTTGCCCAGTGTGGGGCTCAAATTCATGACCCTGACATTAAGAGTCTCATGCTCTACCGAGTGAGCTATTGAGGGGATATATGTAATAATAAATAGTAAAGTAAATACCTCTACTAAGGTAATAAATTAGACAGTTTAGTGAAGGTGGGGAATGAGGTTGAGTACCAAGTACCAGTGCCACTTGCTTGACCTTGGGCAAGACATTCAAACTGCCTTTGCTTTGCTTCCCACCTCTTTAAGATGAGGTTGCAGTGGAATGCTGAAAAGGGGGTTTGGGTTTTTTTGGGGGGGTTATGTAAAAGAGAGCTACAGACTAAATCTGCATGGGAAAGAAAAAATATTATTGCCAATACAACATACACAAGTATTAATGTGTGTGTGTAATAGTGGGATGTACAAATCTGTCAAGATGGACTATGAACAGCTGATTATGATATTAAGGACCATTAGACAGACAGAGAGATAGATTAGATAGATTAGATAGATAGATAGATAGATAGATAGATAGATAGATGATAGATAGATAGATTATAGATAAATAGATAGATAGATGATGATTGATAGATAGATGTTTTCATTGCAACACAATAAATGGCGGGGGTTGTGTTTCAAACAGGGCACAAAGCATTGATCAATTAATTGCTACAACTGGGCTGATTCAATGGCAGATAATGCTTTTTAAGTGGACCTGTGATTTATTAGACTTCACTATCTAGGTCATACAACATCCTCGGCTTAAATGTGGGACAGAAGCTCTCTGCGTGACATCCAAACACAGGGATAAAGCACCTTGACATGAAGAACACCAAACTTCATAGTGGGAAAACGCAATGAAGTTATTTACTGGGGGATCCAAAGCACTTTTATTCAGAAATGAACCCCACTGAGTTCAGTGGGCTTTACAACAGAGGCTGCAATCCTAATCCCATTTACCTGCAAGTAAACTCTATTGCAATCAATAGGATTTACTTCCGAGTAGGCACATTTCTGATTGCATTATAAGTGTGCATAGGACTATAATCCTAGTGCAGGTTTGCAAAATTATCTGGATGTTGTTGGATTACAAATCCCATCATTCCTGGCTCTGCTGGCTGCAGCTGAGGGGAGCTGGGGTGCAACAATATCTTTAAAAACCACAAGTTTCCCCCTTCCTGCCCTAGTGTAAGATGAAAGATCATCTTTAGAAGAACTAGGGCAGGGTTGGGGAAGCTTGCTCAGCTTGAAGGCTGTATTGCCCTATGGGCAACACACCTGGAGCTGCATGTTGGTGGCGGATGCAGCCAGAGGCAAAATTGAGCAGAGCAACAGATGTGACTCTCAATTCACATGACAAAATAATGCTCCATCCTCATTTGGGGTTCTAGAACAATACTCATGGGTCGCTAGTTCATATTTTTTTTCCCAAGAGAGATGCCCCAAGGCTTCTTTTGTCAGCCGTGACAACAATTTTGCTATTTCACTTTTGATACATCCACAGGTTAGAAAATTAGTCAAGATGTTTTAAAAGATGGCTTGGGAAATAAGCAAGGGTGACCCTGATTTGGGGCTTCCCATGGGCATATGGATGGTCACTGTGAAAGAAGAAGTTGATGAGCCTTTGTTCTGATCTAGGAGGGCTCCTCTGGTGTTCTTAAACAGATATATCTATAGCTATATGTCATTTGAAATGTAACATTGCATAAAGAGTACATAAACTAAATAGAACATTGAGAACCCGCTTTGTCTTTCATAACATCTTTCTCTGAGTTTTGCCTTGTTGCTGCATTGTTTACAGTTCCCCCCTCCCTCTATATCATGTAGAAATCTATATCTTCCAGATCTATGCAGCTGATAAAGTTGGCTGTAGTCCACATAAGCTTAAGCAACAATAAATTTTTCAGTCTATAAGATGCAACATGTGTGTGTTCCTGTATTTTTATCTGCCTCTGACTATGCTTGCTATAAAGCCACTCCCGAGCTAAGGGGGGGGGGTTGCGGGCTCACGCCCCCATCCCCATTCTCGCGGGGCTGGCGCCAGCCCTGCAGGATTTAGAGATCCCATTATTAATGTCCGGCAGTGCCAGCCAATGGGCGGGCGCTGGGGGTGGGCCCACCGGAGGGCACTTAAGGTCAGGGCAGCCCGGGCTCGCCCCTTTTCCTCCGCTTCACCAGCCGCAGTTTGGAGCTGCAGTTTGGCTTTTCGTGCGTTTTTCTTTTGCTGCTTTGTATTCTTTGTGGTTTTTTCGGAGGCCTCAGCCAACTCCTGCAGCCCACCTGCCTTTCTGTTTACAACTGGTGCTGGGGCAGAACTGCCTGTCCTCCTCCTGCTGCTGCTTAGTCTCAGGGATGCCCTTGCAGAACTCAGCAGGGAGGAGGATGGGACAAAGCAGGAATTAGTTGGCTCTGCCTGTCACTCGCTCTGGCTCCACCTACTCTTGGCTTCTGGGCCTTCTGTACCAATGAGGACCGGCCACCACTGCCTGTAGCAGACTAGTAAAACTAATCCTCTTGAATAAGGTTCCTAGAAATCAAAGCAAACATACCTTGTGACATTTCTTTATTACCGTAGTAGAAAACCTGTGACCCTCAAGCGGTTGCTGGACTTCAGCTGCCATCAGACCCAACCAGCATGGCCAGTGGCCAGGGATGATGGGGGTTGTAATCCCCAGGTTCCCCACCCCTGCTTTATGGGGTAAAGGTAAAGGTAAAGGGACCCCTGACCATTAGGTCCAGTTGTGGATGACTCTGGGGTTGCGGCGCTCATCTCACTTTATTGGCTGAGGGAGCCGGCGTACAGCTTCCAGGTCATGTGGCCAGCATGACTAAGCCGCTTCTGGTGAACCAGAGCAGTGCACGGAAACACCATTTACCTTCCCGCTGGAGCGGTACCTATTTATCTACTTGCACTTTGACATGCTTTCGAACTGCTAGGTTGGCAGGAGCAGGGACCGAGCAACAGGAGCTCACCCCGTCATGGGGATTCAAACCTTCTGATCCGGAAGCCCTAGGCTCTGTGGTTTAACCCACAGCACCACCCGCGTCCCTTGCTTTATGGGGTACTATGCTTTAATTCTCCTTTTTGTCATGCAACAGGTTTGGTGATGTGTTTGGAGTCTCAAGAGTCCCTGTAGTTTTCAATGACTGGCATGCTCACACTCTGTTTGTGTAACCATTCTCTCATTTGTTTTCTCATCTGGGACCCTCTGTTCATGAATTGCAAGAGATAAGACAATGGCCAATTCCACGCAGGCAATTGCTGTGGAATAATCACAGTTCGCCCACTCACTTTTTATAGGGCATTTAAATGACACCATGAACAAAACACACCTACCTACTCATCAGCTGGGATAGCTCAGTCAGTAGAGCATGAGACTCTTAATCTCAGGGTTGTGGGTTCAAGCCCCACATTGGGCAAAATGTGGATTCCTGCATTGCAGGGATAGATTATCCCTGTGGTTCTTTCCAACTCTGAGTCTATGTTTTCCCTGTTGAGCTTCCATTTTGCTACTTAGAAAATCCATTCTTTTTTAACACAACAAAATAGCTTCCCCGGGTGTAGGCGACCTACTCTTCTGTTATTCTGCTGGCTTGTGTATATTGCTGTAGCCATTTCCTAGTTTGCTGTGGCCCAGTCTTTCCCAACCCAGACTACAGTTCCCATCAGCATGGCCAATAGACAGCAACGATGGGATTTGTAGTTCCTGGTTGGTGTTCCTGGTGTTGATTTTTTCATGCTGATGATAAAACCATATCTTTGTTTATATCTGTGCAGATCTAAGCAATGATGAAGACTATGTCCAGTGGGAACTGCACCTTGAATGTGCCAGCCAAAAACTCCTACCGCATGGTTGTCCTTGGAGCCTCCAGGGTGGGCAAGAGCTCCATCGTCTCACGGTTTCTCAATGGCCGCTTTGAGGACCAGTACACACCCACGATTGAGGATTTCCATCGCAAAGTCTACAACATCCGGGGTGATATGTATCAGCTAGACATCTTGGACACATCTGGGAACCATCCATTCCCTGCCATGAGGAGACTTTCCATACTCACAGGTTAGACATGTGATTGTGTGTGAGAGGAGGGGGTTACCAGGGGCTCCTCCTAGTGGACCCAAGTCAATGCACATCAGTTTGAGTAAGGAGAGGCAGGGGTTCAAATCAGTCCCAGGTGCTTGCAATGCCTGTTTGCAAGGTTTGGCTCATGTTATCTTTGTACTCCCATTTCCAAGGAGTTGCCAGCTGGGATCCACAGAATTCAGCCACCTCCCTGTGCCCAAGAACAGTTTGGGTTTGGGTTTCCTGAACAAAGAGCTCCTGTGCTACATGGCAAGGAGCTCTTAACTGAAATAAGTTTCTGGAGAAGTGTCTGATATGGCTTGGGAGTCCGTAGCTCAATGGGGTAATAATTATATATATATATATATATATATATATATATATATATATATATATGGCTGTATATGAGCCCTCTGACTGTTCTCCTAGAATGGCTCTTTTTGCTCCTAGTTGTTGATTCCCTAATATTTTGTTTAACAGGTGTGGCTGAGAGCCAAAAGTGCAGAATAATTAAAATAAACTGGGGTATTCTTTAATTCAATGAAAGAGGACCCCTTGCCAATTGCTCTCTCTTTGGAGAGCCATCTGCGTTCACCCACGATATGGAATATGCTCTCATGGGCTGATTTTTATTGGGTGTCTCTATGCCTCCTCTATAGAAAATGTAAAACACTGAGTGAGATATAATAACTCTCTGGGCCCACCTTAGTATTCCACTGAGAACAGAAATGAGTCTGGTCAGGTCAAAACTGTAAGAAAACCAGGTATCCAGATAATGAAATCATGCTAGGATCGGCCCATCCATGAAGCAAACTGAGGCAGCCGCCTCAGGCAGCAGAATCCAAGGAGCACCTTTGCAGGTGTGCTCTCCGCTGCCCCACCCCCACTGCCAGAGAAGCAAGGAGATATGGCTATGGAGGCTTCTGGGTTCTGGCAAGATCTCGCCACAGCCATGAGATCCCAGTAAAGGGGGGGGGGACAGGAGGAGGATTTTGGCACACATGCAAAAGTTTGATAGACCTGTCAGTATGTTGTTATAAAACATTATTTTGCTAAAAATCCATGTCATCTTAATTCATTCCATTCTTTACAATGAAAGCTCTGTAAATAGCATTCCTTTTATCCAAACACAGGTTCTCTAAATGTTTTGGTTAGACCATATGTTTGGTTATATCACAGAGTGAGGAAGTATGCTTCTGAATACCACTTGGTTGAAACATCAGGAAGGGGAAGTGCTTTCGCACCCAGGTCCTGCTTCTCATAGTGATCTGGTTGGCCACTGTGGGAGCAGTATGTTGGGCTAGATGGACTACTTGTGTGATCCTACAGGATCTTCTCATGTTCTTAATATAGTTGGGATAAACAAATCCTTTGCTGTGTATGACTTTTCCATTATCTTTTCTAAGAGAGGTTGTAATGGATTGGCTTAATTTGTTTCCCCCTCTTGAAATATTGCAGGAGACGTTTTCATCTTAGTGTTCAGTTTGGATAGCAGAGAGTCCTTTGATGAGGTCAAGAGGCTGCAGCAGCAGATCCTTGAAGTCAAATCTTGCCTGAAGAACAAGACCAAGGAAACAGGTGACCTACCCATGGTGATCTGTGGCAACAAAAATGATCATGGTGAACTGTACCGCAAAGTTCGCTCTGAGGAAGCAGAGAAGCTGGTCTCTAGCGATGAGAACTGTGCTTACTTTGAAGTCTCGGCCAAGAAGAACACCAATGTCAATGAGATGTTCTACGTTCTATTCAGCATGGCCAAGCTGCCCCACGAGATGAGTCCCGCCCTTCACAGGAAGATCTCTGTCCAGTATGGGGACACCTTCCACCAAAAATCCTTCAGGATGCACAGGGTCAAAGAGACAGATGCCTATGGCATGATCTCCCCCTTTGCTCGCCGACCCAGTGTCAACAGCGACCTGAAATACATCAAATCCAAAGTCCTCAGAGAAGGGCAAACGAGAGAAAGGGAGAAATGCACTATCCAGTGAAGAAAGCTCTGCTGAGATGGAGTCTATACACTACGTGCAGTGCCTTAAAGAAAATGGCTGACGGGAGCAAGTTCCTAATGGACTTGGGAGCTACAGGTGATGACAGTAGCAAGCACTCATGAGAGCAGTGCTTGAAACCACTTCATCAAAAGTACCGCACCTTTTTTGTAAAGAAGTGACTTAAAGGGAAATATTGTAAATACTTGAAGCTGCCTGGCAGGTGACTGCCATGCCCAGCACCTGTGACTTGTTCCTTCTTTTTAAAAACTACTTTTCTATTTGGTGTTCTTTTCTTTGGATAAACTGGGTGTGTGAAGAAGGCTGGAGCTCAGCATTATACAAGTGCAGGATGGGTCTGGCCTGCCCCACGTAGGAGTGCTGAGTTCTCATCAAGCAGTAGGCAGTCTTTGGTGAGAAGATGAACATGTGCCATTGTTTTCCTCCAGGCCTCTTCAGAAATAAGACCCATGATTCAGTGTCCTGTCTTGGTTCTGTGGTGACTTCCAAGACAACTGTATATATAAAAGGCAGGAATGGATCTCTGGATTTGTCAGGTCAGAAGAATGTTTGAACATTTGGAAGTTGTGGGGAGAAATGCACTTTTTTGGTGGCAGTGGCAATTCTTCATAGTGTCAATGCAAATGTCGCTTTTGTATTAGAGCTTTAACTTTGTTTCTTAAGCAACAGCCAGATGGCAGGTTGTCTGTTTTAACTGAAATGTGAGCTAATCAGCAAGTATGATCTGGAAATGCCAACTGTTTTCCAGTTACATAATGTGTACAGTAACTAAAATTGTTGTACTGTAAAAAAAACCCAGCACATCTGACAGCTTCATGTGATTTTGCTTCATTCAATTTTCTGTTCTTTGAAAGAACTATATATATATATATACTTGGGACACTTTACTATTTCCTATTTACAAATCCCACCTGCCTCCCGTTCCAATTATCTTATAATGTTTCCATTCTATACTCCACTGTATACAACCACCGTGGGTATGATCTATCCAGTGGCCAACACAAGCTTTTTTGACACTAACAAGGCTGATGCATGCCTACTCAGAAGTAAGCACCACTGAGTTCAATCTGACTCCCAGGTAGCAATGGATGAGTCTGTCCATTTCAGTTTCTCTCTGCTTCTCATTTTTCCAGTCTTATGTTCAGTTCTCCACATTTTCTCATCAGTTTGCAAACATTTTTTAAAAAATAGGCCTCATGAAAATTCACCCTCATTTTACTGTGAATTTTTCCTAAATTATCTTTGTTCTGCCCAGTATATACACTTTTGCAGGCACTTCCCCAAATTTAACATGTATTTGTCAGTTATTTTCACAGACATATGTGATTTTGCTCATGCTGTCCCCTAATATATGCATTTTCATTTTATCTGGCTAAAGAACTACAGCATAAAATTCAGAGAAGGCAAATCAGAGAAGTAAAATGATTATTACTTCCAAGTCGGCATGATTAGGACTGACCTGTAACTAGCCCCAGTGTTCCTAGTGTTCAAATGTCTGCAAAATGTTATCAAAACAGGATCTCATTCACAGGATCACAAAAATATATAAGGTGTGAAGTTTAGTTTAGGATGTGACTGTCTTCTACATCACATTCGCTGAAGGGGGGGGGTCACCAGAGTACTGAATGAGTATGTGCAAATGGGGTTTTCTTTTAGGATGGTAAAACATTTCTTTCTTTCTTTTTTTAAAAAAGGCAGCATAAAACCTATGGTTTTGCTTCTGTCAAAGCCATCTGTTCATAGCAAGATTTCTGCGGAGAAAAATAGTCATGTCCAAATGAGACCTGTCTGTCACTCAAGCCCTGTTTTAAAATCTAGCACCTAAGTGGCTCTTGAGACCTGGAGTATCTTTGTAAAGAGGAGGGAAATTTCACTCAGAACCACTGCATGATGGCATAACATAAACACACCCTTTTAACAGTGGCTCCTTTCCCTGCTTAGACCCATGACAGCTCTCTGCTCATAATGGACATGTTTATCTGAGCAGAATGTGGGGTTTTGCATGCCTCGGACGTACTGCAGAAGTTGGCTACCCATTCACCATGAACAGGGAGCTGCCACAGGTTTAAGAATGGGACACCAGGCCCATCTCTTCTTAATTCTCTCTCTTGTCCCCATGTGGAGGTCCTCTGCCCACAGCTCTCTTCTTTCTTCCCACTTCACCTTTGCTAATTCAGCTTGCTGACGCAACTGTGTGCACTAAAAACAGAAATTTTAAGAAAAAAATACCTCAGACATGGGTGTGCATTGTAGTGTGTGTGCGAGTGTATGTGATCGAATGCAATGAGGGGAAACTTCAGTCTTACTAGTGTTGACACTGTAGACAACGTGGATTGATACGTTGTACCAGCCCTTGAATATTTGACACCTCCTGTGTTTTACTATACCTCATATTCTGTATATATGTAAATAGTGCTGTGCGTACACTGTTTAACGTTGCAAGTTCTGCTGATGCTGAATGAATATTCCCTCTGCCGTCTGACTGGTAACAGAGGCTTAAGGGTAGTAGCCCCTAACATACAAATATCCCCCATCTTATGCATTGCAGGGGTTTGAACTAGGTGACTTTTGGGGTCCCTACAAACTCTACAGTTCTGTGATTCCATGATTCTGAACCCTCCTTCCCTCGCAAATGTAAAATACATGTAAATGTAAAATAAAATTGCTTGGTTTCTAGTGCCATGGCAACCTTCTCTATTATTTTCAGGTGTCTCACAACTTGCATTAATATAGATCTATATTCCTTTCCAAATAAACCTGATTTATTTATTAGCTGTGTCTCAGATGTTGTGCATGTTCTCCAAAATATAATATGGTAAACTAAAGCAAAGGTGGGCAATGTCTCAAGATGGGTCTCCTGATGGGCTCAGAAAATCAGATTCTGATGGAGAAGTGGAAGAAACGTTGTAGACTAAAATGAGAGGCTTTTTTATTATTATTCAGCAGGTGCTCTGTGGTCTGGAAACATGCCACACCACAAGTCTTCCTGCCAAGGAGGAATCACGGTCCTGCTACTATCAGCACAGACTGGGAAATTGGTTTGCAGGGAGATAATGTTTTGCTAGATTTCTTCTTTCTCTGTTTCTAGTGGGGGAGATATTAAAAGGGTACCAGCTAAGCATTTTACACACATGCATCGCAGAGTGTAGAAAATTGGCTTACAGGAGTTCTGAAACAACAGGCACTCAACTCTCCTCGCTGCTAGAAGCACACTACAAGAAACAGAAGTTTATTCAGAGAGCAAAATCTCCAAAAAAAAGCACAATGAAAAGACTGGATGGTGCATTTATTTTATGTATTTCTATTCCACACTTTCATTTAAAAAACATATTGAGGTGGTATACAAAATATAATAATAAAATCAGCAAAAAAAAATCATACAAACACTTTAAACATCAATAAATACTGATTGGTTAAAAAGAGAAAATTCATATTGCAAAGGCCCATCTAAACAATATAGTTTTCAAAAAACATGTGAAGGGAGGGAGGGATGTTTCTTGCCAAACCTCTACAGGCAGGGAGTTCCAGAGGTCAGAGCCTGCCAAACTGAGGCTCAGTCCCTAGTGAAGGCCAATCAAACCTCAGGGACATACTCCATCAGAGGATCTCAATGGTCAAGGTGGATTGTAAGTGATCAGATTTCCCTTAAGATATTTTGGACCCAAGTTGCTTAGGGCTTTGTGAATTAACTTGCACTTTGAACATGATCCATGAGCAAACTGGCAACCAGTGTAGATGTCCCAGCAGTGGAATAACATGTTGTCAGCTGCGACATTCTGCACTACGAGCAGTCCGGCTCCTACATTCTGCACTAGTTGTAGCTTGCAGGCCAGATACAATGACAGCCCCACCCAAAGTGCCTCAAAGTTACCAAGGAATGGACCACTGGGGTCAGGTTGTTGGGGTCCAGGAACGGTTACCACTGGTGTATTATCTGAGCTGGTAAAAAACACTTCTGACTACAGAGCTCACTTGGGCCGCTAGTGACAGAGATGACCCAAAGAGTACCCTCAGACTGCGTACCTGCTCCTTCAGAGGGAGGGCAATCCCACCCAGAACAGGTAAATGACCTCTCTCCCAGTCCAGTACAATTGTTTACGCCATAGTATGGCTCTTTATACACCATTTCTGGAAGGATGCCTGTGGCAGAAAAGAAGGAAGGAAGGTGAGAAGCAGCTGTCCTATGGTTGTGGAGCCCAGGGGTACTCCACATAATTCTGCAGGGAAGTTATGACACTCATCACCAACATTATCAAATGGACGTCTCTAGAATCCTTGTGCAATTGCGCTCCACATAGCATGCCAAACTGCAATAGTCTTGCTAGCTGGCAGAACAAATCACAATTTCCCATGAACAATATAGTGCTGATGGAATGCTGGAGGATTTGTGACATCTCCAAAACAAGCACTTCCCTGCAGAGAAATGTCTTATTTACCTGCAACACAAATGAGCAATGATTACACATTTTTTCATGTTAGAAGGTTGAAGGGTCTTGAAAGATCCCCCTCGGGAGCTGGGAAGGGTCCTTGAAGCAACCATTAAATGGGTGACTGATAGGTGTGATAGATATTTCCCCTTGGTTTCCATAGAGACCCTCTCTTAGTTGACAGTGATGACTGGATCAGTGGCCTTATTTATGCCAGGTGAGAAGCAAAATGATTGCTCTGCGCAAGCTGTTTTATCTATTGCCCCTTAGAGTGTCTTCGGACGTTTTCAATTGGTAAAGAATGCATGAGTCATTTGTGCTTCCTATTATTAACAACTGAAAACAATTCTTACTTTTGTATGGTGTGTGAATGGGCTGCAATTAGGGCTGCAATTTTAAATTTGTATGCTTCAAACAACTAACACTTTAATTGTAGATTAAAATTTGCTTCTGGTTAATTCAATGAGGCTCCCAGCATTATGAAATATATGAAATGGGGGGGGGCGTGTTTGACACCATTTTCTTTGCAGTCCTGATTCCAAAGTGTCCATCTTG